CACCCCCCCGGCGGATGGGGAGGGGGGGGGGGAGGGTTTGGGTGGAGTCAACCCCCACAAATTGTGTGGGGGGCCAAGGTTGAGAAATGCTGGCTTATGACTATGGGCACATCCTAATTTCAAAATAGTTAGTAGATCTTCTGGGGACACAAATTGGACTCTCTGTAATATCATTACAATGCATCAAGATATTTCTGTTGAAGTAGTTTTTAACAATTTCAAATACTTAAAGCTGATAAAATAAATGCTTTATAATAATATTACGAATAGCAAGGTTAACCTGATCAAGAGTGCTATTTTGTAGCTCTTGGGCTAATTTCATGCAGCCTTGCCCTACTTCAAGCCCTTGTAAGGAGGACTTGACATTTGAGACATCTGGCAAGAGCACCTAGATATTTTCTAGAAATCCATTTATTGGAGAGACTTCTAATAAAGAGGTGTTAGAGAACAAATGAGTATTACGTTCACTTTCGGTTCTGGCCGTACCCTGCTTGCTTCAGTTGTGCCCCTATAATATAATCCCTCAACAGATTAACCCTGAAAAAAATAAGTTCAGAATGGGGCATGGGGGGACTAGGACAATTTCAGCACCAAAACCTGAGTAGAAGCCAATCTAAAATAAATCCAAATAATCCTTATTATGCAGTCATGCTGTACAAAAGAGTAGATTGATTACTGATACTTAGCACATTCTTCAGATCCTAGAGAATATTTTTTTTAAAGGTACTGTCAACTCTTTATATGAGACTGATCATTTCTCAGATTTTTCTGCAAGAGGGATAAGGGCCCGATAAATGGTAGCAGTTACTCCTCAGTAGGTGATATCCGTCCAGTGTAACTCTAGCAGATGGTAAACCAAATATATTCAGGTACTATATTGAAGAACTAGCACTATCCAATGAAGAAAAATATTATCATCTTTATTGCATCTATATATGGCCTCACCTAGCTCATTTGCTGCAGACACTTTCCCTATGTCCATGTTCCAAGATTTCCATTTGGCCCAGTATCCTAATCCTTAATGGATGACCTATTTGAAATCCCTCTCCGTTTTCAAATTAAAGAAGATTCTTTTCTTCACTACAAGGGTAGGTCAAAAGCTTTCAATTACCTCTTAAATTGTATTACATGACAGTTTTCCTCCGGTAACTATATTAACAATAAAAATGTTTGTGCAGAAATTTACAGAAAATGTACCATATTTAATGTCATTAATTTTAGAGCTGTCTCGATGTAACAGTACTGATACATTGATTGATGCACAATTTCTACTTCACCATAGCAGTAATTTTATTTAATGTAATTACTAGTTGGTTAGTTAGATTTATATCACCCTTTCCTTAAGGAGGCACACATAGCATTTCTTTTCCCTTTTCCGTGCAACAGTGAGGAGGATGGACTGAGAGAAGTTGCCAGGCCCAGAGTCAACCTGTGAACTTCCATGGTGAAAGGCAGATTAGAACCTAAGTCTCCATGGTCCTAGTCCAAAATATTTACCCCTGCACTACACTTGATGGTATATTTAGAACTGTCAGTGTTTCTCAACCTTGGCCACTTGAAGATGTGTGGACTTCAACTCCCAGAATTCCCCAGCCAGCATGGGGAAGTCAAGTGGCCAAGGTTGAGAAACACTGGTCTAGTATGCATAAGGGCTGTGACAGGCTTGCAGAGTCCTAGCACCAAAGTGCTATTTCAAAGACTCAGGCATTGTGAGTCTGGCTGGGCTGTTGCCTCATGCTTGCTGTTGCAGGGGTGACGTTACCAGCCTGCAGTATGTGGGAGAAAAGAGTATGGATGCTTTAGATCACCAAGCCAATATGTGTTGGAGAAGGACCTTACCAGTGGAAAGTAGAATACCAGCCCAGATATTCAATTGGTAATCTTTATGAGTTGATGTAACTGGAACAGAACAGTCCTGGCTAAGCCCTATATAACACTGAATGAATAAAAGAGAAAAGAACAGAGTAATCTGAATCCGCATGAGGAGGCTGTGGCAGAAATCAGGGGTGGGCAGGTCAGGAGAGCCATTAAATTCTCCTGAATGTTTGGAGTTATATGGTGGAGAAGGGAAGGGACAAGAAAGATTTCCATGGGGTCCCTTGGGGAAATGGGGGGAAAGAGGCCAGGCTCTGTTGCTGAAGCTGCTGTGTACTGTAATGAAGGGTACCTAATAAAATAAAGAAAATAAATAGCATACACATATTCCATGCAATGAAATGGCAGTATCTGCCTGGACAAGAAAACAGCTAAATAGAAGGACCATTTAAATTAGAGAGCTTCATGTGATTTTAACTGTTCTTTTTTTTTTTTTACCAGTTTAACTATTTTATATTTGATTTACTGCTTGCCTCCTTGCATGCCCTATGTGCCAAAAGTGGACTAAAAAATCCTGCAAATAAATAAATCAAGAAAATCGTTTGAGAGCCCAGGTGGAAAGGTGCATGAAAAATATTTAGAGCATGAGCCTTCCAAAATTTTCAATGGTTGTTGGTCGTGCTGTGTTTAATACAGGGATAATCAGAGAAGCTGACCTGCTTTTCAGGAAAATTGATTCAGGTTAAGGTGTTCGAGTTCCAACTGAAGAAGCTGAACAAGTGCATTTGTTTGGCAAAGCTGAGTCCCAGAGGATTCTGGGAAAGAAGAGGGCACCATAGCTGTGCAGTGTGCTGCAAAATAGAAGGTTCATTTTAGAACTGCTCTTACCTACCCAAATATGGTGTTTAAAAAAAAAAAAAACCCTGCCATTTTACATCTTGCCCATAGTCTGATCAGATCTCACTTTTCCTTGCTCTGATGTTCAATTCAGGTTCTGCATGGTCAGCTATTATGAGCGGAGTCACCGAATAGCAGTTGGATCTCGCCATGGTTCAGTGGCCCTCTATGACATCCGGACTGGAAAATGTCAGGTAAATAAATCATAGTGATGCTCTCTGTAAACTGCAGAAGTATTGAAAGGAAAGAGACTCGCTCTGCACCAGTTGACATGCTGAGTTGCTGGAACGTTATGGATAATGCTAAGGGGAATCAATAGTTTAATGAAGGACTCAATGTATATACAGTCTCACTGTTTTTGTTTGCTGTAACTGAATGGTGAGTACAGATGGGTTAATAATAGCTGTCCAAAAAAACCCCCCACTAACTTCTCACATAGTGCCTCACTTTTCCCTACATCAGTTTTTGTGCTGCATTTCTGCTAATGGCTGTGTGGGAATAGTTTACTGAGATTTTTTAAAAATACAAATCCTATTCTCAATATTCAGAATAACTAAAAAAATCAGTGACAGTCATCACCAGAGTAAGTCAAATAAGGTGCAATTGCAAAAACATTTACTAAAACCTCTGAGTAATCATATTTGAGAATGGGCTATAAATGTTGTTAATTGGGTCAAAACTCTCTAGGGCTTTCCACAAATGCAGAAACAGAAAAGGTACCTAATCTTATGAGACATGTGCTGACATTATCACATTGCCGGGAGCCATAATTCAAGAAAGTCCTAGTGCTTATTTTTCCCAGTGTTTTCTAGACATTTTAATCCTCACATGTCTATATCTATCTAAACCAAGTTAGAACTCTTGCAGCTGCAATGGTTAATACTTAATTTTTAATTATATTTGGTGCATTGTATTTAACTTCAAACTCAGCTTTGTTTAAAACTATAGCTTTAATCTTCAGTACATTTTCTTTGTTTCACTAATTTTTTTAAATTAACTAATGAACTGAATGAATGCTCCATTTGTTTTAGAATATAGATCTCTGATCCTCCAAAGAACCATAGTAAAAAAAAAAAGAAAGAAAGAAAAGCCATAATCGGAACAGCCTAGAGGAGAGTATTCACATTTTAACTAATTACGCCTCTTGAATGGTGCATTTTTTTAAGAAATGCAATTGATGGGCTGGCAAAACATAGAAATACAGTTTCATATTCAGATACAGCAAACATTAGTTATTAATTGTCACATATCAGCTAATTTCAGAAGTCTCCCTAATATTGAGATAGTCTCCTTTCTCCTAAATTAAACAACAAATGTTAGTCTCTTACTGAAAGAATATATATTTTCATTGGTGCAATTTCAACTCCTGTTTCTCAAAATGTGCATAATATTACCTGGTGTTCAAAGGGAAACCTGACGCATTTTCATGGGAGTTTTCCATTCACATTTTGTATGTACAGGTAGTCCTTGACTTACAACCACAATAGGGACTGGAAAATTCATCATTAAGCAGTGCAGTTGTTAAGTGAGGCATCACATGACCACACCTGATTTTATGACATTTTTTGCAGCAGTCATTAAGCAAATCACCATGGTCATTAAGCGAATCACGCAGTCATTAAGTGAATCACGTGGTTCCCCATTGGTTTTGCGTGTTGGAAGCTGGCTGGAAAGGTCACAAATGGTGATCATGTGATCCTGGAACCCACATAAATACATGCCAATTGCCAAGTGCCCAAATTTTGATTACATGACCATGGGGATGCTACAACAGCCCTAAGTGTGAGGACCAGTCATAAGTCATTTTTTTCAGTGCCATTGTAACTTCAGACGGTCGCTAAATGAATGGTTGTAAGTCAAGGACTACCTGTATTTTTTTTCTGTGTTTTCTTCTTCTTACCAGCAAAGAAGAACAGCAGAACAAAAATGTTTTTAGTCTACATTGGTTCTCTATTTTTATTCTACATTTTTTCTCCCTCTTTAAAATAATTTATTTGTTAATGTGTCTACAGGGTAGACATGGAATTCTGCTTTGACCACTAGTTCTAGAAAGTGTGGCTCCACATAATAGATGTTTTTGATTTGTCTAAAGTTAAAGTGGGTAACAAAGGTCAGAGGTGTATTCTTACATTTCTAAATGAAAAAAGCTGAATCTAGCAAGAAAATCTTCCCTTCTAGCTTGCTTTGCCCTTGGTTTAGTAAATATGCTTGAGTTTTCCCTCTCTTCCAGCAATCTTCTAGTATGCATTCTGTGGATTAACAGCAGATAGTTCAAAAATATCAACATTCCATTTCATGTGGCATCTTCTGTTGAATTAGTTCAACTGAATCGAGATCTGGCTATACAATTTATGAGTACAATTCAGCTGATGTAGTTGATGGTTCTCCAGTGACAGGAACATTTTGGAAAGAAAAAGATCTTTTTTCAAGCATTCTCCAGTGTAGCCTGATACATACAGTTATTTCTGGCACTGCTGGCTGCTTTATTTTTAAGATTAGATGTATCTTATGCACATTACTGGACAGAATAAACATCGAGCAGAGATCATATGTTCTTTTTATTGCCACCAACACAAAATTGGTGCAGTAAATTAAGATCTGTAATAAAATTAAATAACAGTAGCTTTTCATCTATTAAAAAAACCATGATGGAAAAATACTGCTTTACACAAATTTCTACAAAGTTCTTACCTTGATAAATGAGTAAATGGGACAAAGAAATAGCACAGAATTGCAATGATAAAATGGAAAAGGTGGGACCATATGAGGAAAAAGTATCAACGGTACAGTAGTCCCTTTTTGCCAGATGCCTTCATTCAGAAAAGATGCGTCCAATGAATCAACAGATACAGAGATCATTTGTAAAGCTGTCATTCATCAGTGGAGATTTTGATTTTATGCTGCATTTTATGGAAGAACTCAGGGGGGAGGTTTTTATTTTATCATAATGCAGTGTTGTCCAAACTTGGCCACTTTAAGATGAGTGGACTTCAACTCCCA